ACGCAATGAGAACGCGACACGTAAGCAAACTTTTTATTCACCAGATCGTGACATGTGTCTAATACTAATTAGATAATAACATGTGTTAACACTTAATATTGGTTAAAAATATATGAAAACAAAAATGGAAAACAAACAAATAATTCTTAAGTCTCTAACCAAAGAGTAAAATAGTAAACTTTCTTATTGTTCAAACTAATGATAAGAAAAGAAAAATTTCTAATACTCCATGTTAGCTATATTAAAAAAATAGTTTAAACTAATCCTATTATATAAAGGAGGGTGCGCATGATGAAAACGCGACACGTAAGTAAAATTGTAACTCACCAGATCGTGACATGTGTTTACTATTATCAGATGATGATATGTGTTAATACTTAACTTAATTAAACATATATACAAATAAAAATAGAAAACGAACAAAATAATTGTAAAGTAACTAACCAATAGTAAAGAAGAAAAGTTTCTTATTGTTCAAATTAATTATGAAGAAAAAAAATTTCTAATAGTCCACACTAACAATATTAAAAGAAATCTAATGGTTTAAACTGATTATCAAATTCAATTAAGAAAGAAAACAGAGAGACTGTAAACACACAAAAAAGTAAAGAGAAAAAATCAAGTATTATCAACGAGAGTATGATAATTAAGAAAAATTATAATTCACCAAATCATAACATGTGTTCAATAATGATCACATGATGAAATGTGTTAATACTTAAACTTAGTGAAGAAAAACTAAAATTAAAAATGGAAAACGAACAATATATTTCTCAAAACAACAAACCAAATAGTAAAAAAGAATTTCTAATAATCCCAAATAGCTGGTAAAAATTATTAAAATAGTTTAAACAAATTATAAAATAAAATTAGGAAAGAAAATAGAGAGACTATAAACAACAATAAAAAAAATATAAAAAACAAAGAAGAAATAGAAATTGTAATTAAGAAACAAATATAGAAAATTTCAAAAAATGCCATTTTTCAAGTGRCACTTTTCAAAAATGCCACTTTTCAAGTGCCACTTTTCAAAAATGCCACATTTTCAAAATCTTTGCAGAAATACCACTTTTTCAAAAAAAAAAAATTCATTATCTCATTTATTTTTGGGTTAACTATTTTTTATTAGGGTTTAGTTTTGAAGATTTAACGGGGATATGGGTCAAAACGTTTTTTAGGATTTATAATTTTAAGATTTAGGCATTAAAAATATATAATTAGTGGCATTTTTGCAAATAGACATCCCTAAATGCTATTCTTGCAAATATACACTCTAAAAGTAGTATTTTTGCAATTGTCACACAAATATAAGTGATAAAACAAAAAAATTTTATAAACTGAAAAACAAAAACTTAAAAAGAATATGGAAACCCCAATTTAAAAATTATATGCACAAACATACCAAAGAAGAAAAATCTATAAACATAGTTGTAGAATATTAAAAAAAATATAAATCTTTTACTTATACTTTTCAATGTAAAAAAAAATTATATAAAAGGAAAAAAATAAAATGAGCCAAAAGTGTAATAGTATATTTAATTTTAAGATCCAAAAGTGTAAGATTTGACAAGTATAGATCTCTATGAAAAATAAACCGATGACATCAATGATATTTATCAATCATAGATTTATATATAATATTGATTAAAATGTTATAAAATATTTTAATTGTTTTCATATTTTTTTTTATAATTTAACTCTATATTATTTTAATTGTTATAAAAATTTATTATATAGTTCATATAATTTCATAATGAGTAAGAATATTTTTTTTTATTATTAAAAATATGATTTGAATTCTATTTATGTATATATGTTTTTCGGCGTGCATAATATGAATTAGGACATGAGAATTAAGAAATATATTAAACTTTAATGGTTTGAGATTCATGTTTAAATATTTCAAAATATTTTTGTAAATAAACGGGTTACTAACTAAAATTTAAATTTTGATATTAATATTTTTTAATGTGTTTATTCGCGTATTAACGTAGGTCCTAGAAATTAGATATAATAAAAAAAATATATATATCTATTATATGATTTTCATTCTTGAGAAGAAGGAAGGCCACAATAACCAAAATCAAACCGAGATACTTAAACCGAATCTTATAATTAACCGACAGTTTTTTTTTTTTTGGTAAAACCTATCTCCTTCTCTCCGCTCGTTTTCCTCTGTTCCATGTTGCGCCGCTTGGGAAAAAACAGAGGATGACTTTGTGATCTTCTTTCTCATAATCAAAAACCGAAAGTACAACAAATACTTTTGTTTTTTTTTTAACTGAAATTTTAGAAGCAAGTGTGTTTTTTTTTTGGTGTGTGTAAAAACAATGGAGGAAGATTCTAGGACGACGACGACAAGAGATAGTATTTACAGAGCTGCGAGGAGTATAAAGCGAAGAGACAACAGTCTTTATAACGCTCTTCGATCAATCTATCAAGACTCAATCTTTGTCGGAGAAATCTCTCGGTTATGGCCGAAACTTCCTCTCTTAGCGAATCTTCGTTGTGGTCTTTGGTACTCTCCTAGATTCGACGCCACTTGCTACTTCAAATCCACTGATGGTCATACCAACAATTTGTCTTTCAACACTTCTCGTCTCAATCTCCATCTCCCTCTTCTCGCTGGTACGAATTATATCTCCATAATCAAATTAGGATCTTAAAGAAATTAGCTTTATCTACCATCAAAATCATATCTTTATGCATTCTCTCCATTGTTGTTGTTGTTGTGAAGCATCAAAATCATATCTTTATGCATTTTTTTCTTTCATTCTTGTGTTGTGATTGCCACTTGAAAACGATGATTGTTTTTCGATTGGATAGGAGAAAAAGGAGGTTGTATCATTATTGATTCTACTCGGAAAGGAAAGCGTTTTCCGGATAGCATGTCGAAAACGATACCAATATGGTCATGTGTATTGAACCGTTCAGTATATAATTACTTGAAGAAACTATGTAACATTGATGCAGTGAGTAGCAATGTCAATTGTGTCTGCATTAGTTTGTAGATTATTAGCCTAATATTTAACAATTTACAATCTTCTTGTCTTTGTTTTCGAATAGGGTTGTGATCATGATGGAGATAACATAAGGCAATTGTTAGATAAATGGGATTGTAGTTTACATCTTCCACTTTGGGTTTCAAATACTGAGAAGGCCTCTATCAAAGCTCGATTGGACGAGTGGACAAGACAGTTAGAGGCGAGTGGAGCTGATATAGCTTCTTTAGCTTCATGTTTGAGAAAACCTTTACGCCCTCTTTGGGTTTCGCAGAAAACAGTCTTATGGTTGAATGAAGTACCTGAGCATGGTTCATGGGATTTCACCCCTCTCATCCTTGTCTCGTCTTCTGCTTCCGGTGAAATTCAACGCAGAACTAATTCAGAGTTTAGTTGGAGTTATATTCCAGGAGCTGGTGATGATGAAGAGAGTTGGGCTAGAGGTTTATCTCCGAATGTTTTCTGGACACATGTTGACGATCTTATTGACTCGGGACCTGAATTGTGTAACCAGAAAGTTGCAGAGATTGTTGAGAATGATAGAGTGTATCGAGCGCAGAGAGGTCAGGAAGCTCCTCAGGTTGTTGTCAAATGCTCAAAATCTAATGGAGTCCATAGCACTAAGAGTGATGAAATCTTATCTCTTGATGCATCAAAACCTAAAGTTGGGATGATGAATGTTGATAAAGAAAGCTTAGTATATTGGTTTGCATCAACTAATCTTGCTGTTGGGGCATCTCAAGTAGGTGAGTTTAATTTCTAAACTTGAAAAACATTGTAGCATAATTAACTTTTCTGCTTTTGGTTGTTCCATTGCTAATGTTGTCTCTTTCTTTTGCATTAACTAAGGCGTAATCGATTCAGCCTCTCATTTAATCTTCTTATCCTTTTGTAGTTGGTAAAGAGACATCTATCGACTGCACATTAAATTGCGATCAAAATCCCATCTCGGTCCCTCTTTCAAATCTTGAAGAGCATTTGCATCTACCGATGACAGTATGCCTTAAAAACACCAAACTCTTTTGCTTGGTGGACAGTTTTTTTCCTCAAACAAATATTCATTAAAACTGTAATGTTTTTCCAGGGTTCAAAATTTGATAGATTTTCCATACTTAGAAATCTACCTTCCGCGGTTAATTTTGCTAAGCTGAAAATGAGTTCGGGTAAGAAGCTCTTAGTTTGTTGTCAAGATGGTAAGTTTGTATTTGTATTCTTCGCGTGTCGTAACTTTTAACATGATTGTATTGGTCTAATCAGTATTGTAATTCTGATGATAGGGGAAGATATCAGTGTATGTGTATGTTTAGCCATCTTGATTTCATTATTCAGTGAAGAAGGTAAATGACATTTTTGTACTTTTTTCGGTTCCACAATACTAGACTAAACCATAATGCTGACGAATTTGAGTCACTTGCAGGGGTCTTTGATGGTGGAAAATCCTTTGAAGAGAAGAGTATAACAAAAATGGAAATGCGACGGATGCTAATTTTTATATGCAAATACGCAGTGAATGCCCGTCCATCTAGAGGGAATCTCAAGCAAGTCTTTGGTTTTCTCTGGTCTCAGCGCGAAAATTCGGACGAGTAGATAGAAAGCCTTCAAGTATATTCCTCATTGTTGTTGTTATTACATACTTTTATGGATTCATTTTGCAGAAAGAAACCCGCAATTTCGCTATCTCTTCTTCTTTCATTGTGTGATTTTGTAATGGTCTAAGCGATTTTTTAGGCGTTTTAGACGTTTATATAATAAAGAAATATATCGCGATGAAAGTTTGACACGTAGGCAAAATTCTTAAGCACCATATCACGACATGTGGCTATCATTCATTAGATGATGACATATGCCAGTATATTTTAATATCCTAATTTTATTGAAAAGCCAAAAAAATTAAAAAAATAAAATATTTTAAAACCAAAACCTTTAAAAAATATTCCTATAACGTTAGTTAGAAAAAATAAAAATATCTTAAAACCAAAACCTTTAAAAAAATTATTCCTACAACGTTACTAACAAAAAAAAAAATCATAATACATAAAACTTCCAAAAACTCAAACTAAAACAAGAGAAAATGGCAACAACCTAGATTAGTTTAATTTCCATTATTTATTTTAAAACCAAAACCTTTTAAAGAATATTCCTATAACGTTACTTACAAAAAAAAACTTAAATTATATAAAACTTCCAAAAACTCAAACTAAAACAAGAGAAAGGGCAATAACCTAGATTAGTTTAATTTTCATTGTTTATTAT